GATACATTTTTACAACATTTTAAACGTTGTAAAAATATAATTTAAAAAAGTGACCATTGAACTACTTTACGTATCAATACAACTTTTCATATTTTCTAGGGTTAATATTATAAAAGCTCTAATTTTTAACGCGTAATTGAAAAAAGCCTTGATATTTTTATTATTTTTCCTGTGACCACAATTTTCTCACAGAATTATCACTCTAACCCGATTAACAAGTTTCATGGTTAAGTTTTTTGGTTAAATTTTTTGCAAAATCAGTGTTAAAAAGTTCAAATTTAATCCCTGAGGTTTGAAAAAAATTACACCACATGGTTTTTTAACTTTATTTTTCGTTTTTTGTATACTTTATTTATTTTTGGTTTTTTTATAATTATATGTACATTTTTTATTTTCTTTATATATAAATATAAATATATATATATATATATATATATATATATATATATATATATATATATATATATATATATATAGGTTTAGGTTCAATTGATACTATTCTAATTTTGTGAGACCGTAAGACCAAATATAAAAATAATTTTAAAATGCAAAATAAATGGAAAAATAAAAAAAAAAATTTAAATATTATTTTCGGAAATTGAATTAACTAAAAGAAATAAAAAAATTAAAAAAAATTCTGTTTTTTTTAAAACTAAGTGAAATATTCTAATAGAATATTACACTGACATATTCTAAAAATAATTTTAAAATGCAGAATAAATGGAAAAATCAAAAAATTCTTTTTTTAAATATTATTTTCGGAACATGAATTAACTAAAAAAATAAAAAAAATCAACAAAAAAATAAAAATAAAAATACGTAAAATATTCTAATAGAATATTACACTGACATATTTTAAAAAATAATCTTAAAATACAAAATAAATGGAAAATTCCAAAATTTGTTTTTAAAATATTATTTTCGGAACTTAAATTAACTAAAAAAAATTAAAAATAAATAAATAACTAAAAAAATGCGTCTCACGGTCTCACAAAATTAGGCCGTCTCACATGAACCTAGCCCTATATATATATATATATATATATATATATATATATATATATATATATATATATATATATATATATATTACTTATTTTCATTTTTTAACTTTATTTTTCAACAATTTTTTAAAGCATTTTAACTTTTTTTTTCTATTTTTTAGTGTATATTAGAGTTTTTTTTTTGGTTTTTTCATATTTCTTTTCGTATTATATTTTTTTTTATTTTCATCTTTTTAATTTTTAATTTTTTTCTTACTTGTTTTCCAATTATTTGTTTTTTTTTGTTTTTTTGTATTTTTATCTTTTTATTGACATTTTTCAAAAAAATATAAAATGTTATAATATATTAGAGTATATTACAATTTTGATAATTTATAGTTTTTGTAATTGTTTTTTATTTTTATTCAAGTAAATAAAGTAGTTATGTTTATATTTGTAATTTTAGTCCAACTTATTTTTTTTCTTTTTTTCTTTAGTGCTATTATATTTATGTTACGAAAAAATGAAAATTAAAAAAAAAATAGTTTGTTTAATAAGAATTAGTATTTCAATGTGTTATATAACTTGCAAATTAAATCATATTTTTATATGTGATATCAATAGATTAAAATGAAGATAATATTTTTCAGTTCGATAATAGACTAAAAAAACAAAATCAAAAAAATAATAGTCGATCTTTATAAAAAAAACTTGTTATACTAATTTATATTGAATTCAAGTTCGTTTACTTGAATCAAAGTAAATAAAAACATTAGAAAAAGTATAAATAACTAAAATAGGAAAAAAAAAATTAGAAAACGAAAATTGTAATATTAAAAAACCTTAGAAAAAATATTAGAAAAACCATAAATAACAAAAAATAGAAAAAAAATAAAATAAAAAGGTGAAAAAAATAAAATATAATACGAAAAGAAATATGAAAAAACCTAAAAAAACCCTAATATACTCTGTATATACACTAAAAAATAGAAAGCAAAATGTAAAAAGGTAAAAAAAATGTTGAAAATTTAAATTAAAAAATGAAAATAAATAAAGTATATATATAAAAAGAAAATAAAAAATGCACACATATTTATAAAAAAACCGAAAATAAATAAAGTATACAAAAAACGAAAAATAAAGTTAAAAAACCATGTGGTGTAATTTTTTTCAAACATTAGGGATTAAATTTGAACTTTTTAAGACTAATTTTGCAAAAAAGTTAACCAACTTAATCATAAAACTCGTTAAGTGGGCTAGAGTAATAATTCTGCGAGAAAGTTGTGGCCACAACAATAATAAAAAAAAAATATCAGGTTTTTTTTCCAATTATACAGTAAAATTTTAAGGCTTTTATAATATTAACTATATTTTCTACAACATTTATAATACTTTCATTTAGAAAAGTGTATGAATATGTAACATAACTGTTAAACAAGTTTATAACGTTTTAATATTTTTGTAAATAATGTGTGATTTTAAAATAAATTTTTTAAAAAGTGACAAAAAGAGCCTACAAATGATTTTTAATTCTTTGAGAAAAATTATATTTATAATAAAATTTAAAGTGACCAAATTCGTAAAAAAAATCTAAAAGATAGGTCAAAAGTTTAAAATTTAAATATGACCTATTAAATATGGCATGATATATGGAAATTAAATATCCAACGGCCAGTTATCTTTTTGTAATATATTTTGAGTTTGTTTGTAATTAGAAAACATTTCCAATAGATGTTTTTTTCAACAAAAGTGTAAAATTGATTCTTGTGGTAAAAACTTCGGATAAAATCAAAAAGTTTCTTATTAGTTTTGGTTAAAAAAAAGCTTTAAAAAACAGTTTTACCATTTTATTCTCTTTTTTCTTTTTTTATAATTATTTTAATACTGTTTTAATTTGAAAAAAAAAAGATAAATAGTAGGGGTGAGCATGGTGCGGTTTGGTGCCAAAACCGAACCAAAAACCGCAACTTCGGTTTTTTGAAATTTAGAAACCGCACCGTTCGGTTTTATGCGGTTCGGTTTTTGCGGTTGTTCATTGCGGTTTTTTGCGGTTCAGTTTTTTTTTGCGGTTTTGTCTTTTTACTAAACCTCAAGTAAGTCAGCGAGTTATTTTGACTCAAATGATGAGTGATAATCATTTATTGGAGATAAATCCATACCACAACCTATTGGTTAGAAGTCAAATTACTTAACCACTCATTCAACATGTTTTTAAAGCTTCAATATAATGCGAATTTAATATAATATTTGTTTCACAAGTACATACGATAATATCAATTAATATATTCATAAAAATGATATTATATCACTAGTACTCTTCATATTTAAATGTTAAAAAAATGTCATAAACATTATTTGTTATTGTAAATACCATTGAATGTATGCTTAAAAATATACAATTATCCTCCGATAGATAAGATATATATTTACATTTATATAAATTTTAATTGTCATAAGTTCTTGGTTCTTACAAATATCAACAGTTAATATATATATATATATATATATATATATATATATATATATATATATATATATATATATATATATATATATTATATATATATATATGCAGTGCGGTTCGGTTTTTTGTGGTTTTTGCAAGACTAAAAACCGCACCGCACCGAGTATTTCGGTTTTTGCAAAACTAAAAACCGCACCATCGGTTTCCATTTCGGTTTTGGTTTTTCGGTTTCGATTTATGCGGTTTTTTTGGTTTGCGGTTCGGTTTTTGCTCACCCCTAATAAATAGAATTTGCCACCAACTACCCCACCATTCTCTCTCTCTCTCTCTCTCTCTCTCTCTCACACACACACAGTAAAGAAAAACCCACCTTCACCTCCCCTACCTGCACTCCCGATCTTCTTCTTCCCACTTCACCTTTAACTTAAATTACACACAGATACATACACTTAAATACGTTGCCATTTAACCCTTCTCTATTCCTGGTCAACAATCCTTCTCTTGGTGGTAGTAGATGATTTTGGTGGACTTCCGTCGGTCTTCTGCGTAAACCATAAAAGCTTCAGATTACCCTAAAACCATGGGGGTAAGGGCTTAGTTACAGAGTACAAGATGATCATGGCTTGTTCACAACAATACAGTTTGGCGATTTGGAAGTTGGCGCTTCCTCAAATATTGTTGTATTTGACCGGTTCGATTGATGGGTGATTTTAATTGTGTATCTTTGATTCATATTTTATCTGGGTTTTGATTATTCCCATGCTTTTGGAGAATCTATCGGTCAATCCTAATTCTTTGTATGGTCATAATCATGTGTGTTATTTGCTCTCATTCTCATTCTCAGGCTCATTCTCATCGGTTGATTTGAAGTTTCTATAGTTTTTCAAATCCTTTTTTCTAAATAACAAATTTGAAGTCTGGAGCTCTTTAAAACTTCATTACTTCCTTAAGAACATAAATGATTTTGTGCACTTTGATCAAATGGTATCACACTCCGTTGATGGTGGCTGCAAAACATGGGAAGACTGCTAATGTTGAAAAGCTTATTGAAGTGGCCATTACAGTTAACTTGAAGCTTTTCATCGTCATCAACATATTCTTCATGAGAGAGGTGTACGGGTTTCAGTCTGCCCGCCAATGGATATTAATCTATAAAAACCTTAAAGGGAAAGGATTTGAAGGATTTGATTCGATTTTTTTGTTTTTCAAATGGGTTGTTGGCGTTGAGAATCGAAGTGGGTGATGGTTGTGAGTCTTGCAAAGTTTTGGGGGAGAATAAGCCATGAAAGAACCTTGGTGAAGGAAGGAAAGAAGAAATGGGTTTAGTTGTGGTTTGATCCGTCATGATAGACTTGTTCAAGATCTCAAAATTTGTGTTAAAATCGAAAAAAAAAGAAAGAAAGAAAGGTTTTAGTAACTTCCATGGGTGATGATGAAGGATTAAAACCTAAGTTTTTGTGTGAATGTATGTGGGTGGTTGCATTTACACGTGTAGGGTGAGGAAGGAGAAGGGAGAGAGAATCAAAGAGAGATGGAGAGAGAGGATAGGGATGTCAACGGGGGCAAACGGGACGAGAAGTGCATCCCCCGACTTTCCCTTTCCCCATCCCCACCCTAGCCCCTGAAATGATCAACATTCCTATTCCCGCTCCCAAATCCCCTTTATTACCCCTGCTTCCGCCCTCGTTCCTCCATCCTAGATTAATTTTGGGCTGCTTTTTTTGGACTAAAAGAAGTTGATATTTACACTAAAAGAAAATATTTTTAGTTAACAAATAACTATTTATAACAGAATTTACATGTTAAAAATAAAAAGTTATGACATCTTACAAGCATTATACCAACAATTTAAAAATATGTTTTTTTGATTAATTTTGGAAGCTTAAAATCATGTTTTTTTTGGAAAGGGAACTTCCCTAACGAGGGTTTCCGGGCCAGCTTTCGCGCACCGATTAATCCCCCACTGCAAACATAAAACTTTGCTTCATGCCTTGGAGTCACTGCATGCGAACCTCCATATCCACAAGCTCAAAATCATGTTATTGTTTATTATAATTACTAGGTGTAAGACCCGTGTGTACTACACGAGTTTATTAAAAATAAAAATTTAATATCAATATCAATTTTAGAGCTCTCATTAATTATGTCATTTATTACATTATAAATATATCATTTCTTTTTCAAGGAAGCATTTATTTCTCTTAATTGTAACCGAAATAAGTTATGATATGTGAACAAATCAGAAAATTCCATGTGGAAATAAATAAATTCTAAAAATCTATTAAAATGCCATGTGTCCAAATTAATGAGGACATAACATGTGGCAGAAAATGGGTTTTATTTATTAGTATAGATATAATTAATATATGTAATTTATTAATGGAGTACCCATGGGGGTTTCGGGACTGGATCGCCTAGCCCGCCTCCGAAATTAAAACGGGGGTTAACCTTTTCCCTGCCCCCATTTTTCTTATTTTTTATTTTTTTATTTTTAATTTCCCCCAAACGGGACGGAACCCTCACGGGAACGGGGTTCCACAAGACTTTTTGACATCCTTAAGAGAGAAGGGGAGGGTACGAGTGGAGGGATGGGGTGGGATAGCTAATTCTGTTTTTTTTTCTTTAATTTTTAATTAATAAATTATTAAAAAAATAAATAAATAGGACAAAACTATCTTTTTAAGTTTTTTTTGGACCAAAACCACAATAAAATCTTGATTTTGGACTATCTATGGAAATTGCAAACTTTTTGAACCTTATCCAAAAAATTTTGAATACTACCAAATATTTTAGACTTTTTTTTTTCTCCCAAAAGCTATCTAAAACTTAGAGTAGATTTCAACCTTATGTTGCCTCTATGGTAGGTCGTTATTACCGAGTCTTGATATGTGAACATAAAAGAAAAAGCATATTAAAAAGAAAATTGAGAGTTATTGATGGCCCTAATAATTAATAAGCAACATATCTACCACAAAAGAAATATAATTGTTGTGTAAATGCTAATATACTCAGATTCATTACTGATATTAAATTTTACGAAATCTTGAATTTATATATCTGTACGTTACTATTTTTAACATTAGTACAATTCACCAATACGATTTCGAGTTTTTTTTTTTTTTTTTTTTTTTTTTTTTTCTTTTAAGAACACAAAATATATAAAGTTTGTTGTGGAAGAAAAGAAGAAATTTGCAAGCAGCTTACCACTGGAATATCCGCGAGGAGGGTCAATGAAGATGAACTTTGAATCAGAGAGTTTGCTCTCGAGCTCACCAATAGCAGTAACAAGCCTGGTGTTGAATTGTATAATAGCTCCATTTACAGCATCCACACATTTATTTGTGTTAAACCTGTTCATCATTGCTGGTGTACAACCTATGTATCCAGCTCCAGCTATCCCAAACTTTCTTGCTCCATATTTGTACAGTTTCTGAATATATGCAACTTAAACAAACATTAGCTTATATATAAAAAACAATGTGGAACTAAGAATTTCGATACTGACAGATAGTTGTTTTGAATATTGTTTAATGAGGATTTTGGCATACTGATCTGGCGTGTATAAGATGCTTGTTTGATAGTATTTTGGATAAAAGTAATTGTTAATGTAGTCGTTATTCCCCATTGCAACGGTGTATATGCATTTGTTGAGGTGTTGTCGAGCTTTGGCTAAACTCCCATTACCAATCAAGTTCACTAGTCGCAAAATTGTGATTGCATGATTTGTTAGTTGCCGATTCATGCATATCCTACCACCCTGTCATCGAAATATAGTTACCATTTGGTTAATTAAACAATCCAATGCATGGTATTTTTCATTCATGTATATATCTTCTGGCATGCTTAACTATTATAAGCATCAGTATTTGATATAGCCAAGCAATCAGACGTTAGTTTGATAACTTGAAACATAAATTTGAAACAGAGATATGCATGCATGGATTTTTGTACGAAGGCATGCATAATGAAAATATACCATGTGTTCAGCGGTTTCATCACGAATTCCAGCAGCACCTGATGCATAATTTACTCCTCGAACGATTTCTTCATGTCTTGCGGTTGCAAAAGGTGGAATGAAGTTTTCAAAACCTAGTAGTTGAGCTGGGAAGAACAAAATAAAAATAATTAAGTTGAAGTTTTAACATTTAAAATTATAGATTCTTGATTTCTTAGAACCATGACTATTTTAGAAAATAATCAAGAAAGAGACCTACAACGTCCGCAGTATTTCGACCATTTGAAAATCTCCCGGTAGTACCATCGGGAAAGTCAATTCCATATGGTGGGTAATTGGCTTTTGCCGTCGTAACCAGGTGGTTGTTATTTCCATTATCCATTGATGAGTCACCAAATATGAAATAACAAGGTACCTGAGGAGCGCTATGCGCGAAGCATAATAGTGTTGCTGACAATACCATCAAAATCAAAGCTTGAACAAAAGCGCTCATTTTCCTCCTCTTTGGGTTATAAAAAAGTAATTGATGGTTTCTTTTGAATGCCAAAATGAATAGACGTTGATGAAATACTTATATAGAAAATATCTAGTTTGCTCTATGAGTGTGACCTTATCAATACGTTGATATGTACGTAGAGCCCCCATCCATATAATATGTAGCATTCGCATGTGATCTTTCTTTGTATTGTAGCAGACTTACTGTTTCTTTAGTTCGTCCTTTTGAGATCATTGCTTCTTAAGAACCACATATATTGTATCCAAAATCTTTCTCACATTCAGCATGATATCCATTTAGCCAAACATGTTAATTTAATCGTCAAATACTTAATGATTTTAACTTTTTTGACTATATATATATATATATATATATATATATATATATATATATATATATATATATATATATATATATATATATATATATATATATATAGATAGAGAGAGAGAGAGAGAGAGAGAGAGAGAGAGTGGGATTTAATAGAGAACCACAATTAACTAAGAAACCAATCTTTTTTTTCAACTTTTAAAACTTCTTTTTTATCAAAAAAAAAAAAAAACTAAAAATACAGAAATTCATAATTTTTTATCCATTTTCCAATGATATAAAATTTGATATATATATATATATATATATATATATATATATATATATATATACACACGTCAAATTCACAATGTGAATCTTTGAAAATTCACAACGTGAATCCAGAATATATATATATATATATATATATATATATATATATATATATATATATATATATATATATATATATATATATTATATATATATATATACACACACACGTCAAATTCACAATGTGAATCTTTGAAAATTAACAACGTGAATCCGGATTCACACGGTGAATCCAAAAAATATTTTTCACATTCACAATGTTAATATATGAATTTAGATATTTTTAGATTTTTTTTTTCGGTAAAGAATAAGCTCTAGAAATTGAAAAAAAGATTTGGTTCCTTGAAGAACCCATAATTATGGTTATCTATTGAACTTTTCTCTTTATATATATATATATATATATATATATATATATATATATATATATATATATATATATACCCATAATTATGGTTCTCTATTGAACTTTTCTCTTTATATATATATATATATATATATATATATATATATATATATATATATATATATATATAATAATAATAAATGTTTTTTTCTAGTTCATCCTGGACATTTGAGGATATGTGGATCCCCAGGACTGGTCATATCGTGATACATGTTATTTTATTGTGTCGAGGGCTGTTAAACGTTGTTGGTGTTGGGTTTTAAGCACTATTATACTTCCTAAGTGCACATGCAACCCTAAATGCTTCGGATCTATGTTTTCTCTAATTATACATGCATTTTCTTTTTCCAAAGCATTCACCCTAGGTAGCATACAATTGAAGCTATATAATAAAACATAGTTTGGATGCTTACCCTTTTGAGTAGGGTCACTACTACAAAACAGCCCTTTAATTAGACGCAAACAATGACACGCGCTGATAGATGACGCGCATTTGTGTGTGCCCTAAAAAATAATGACAGTTTTGCAAATTTGAATGATAGAGGACACACATTTGTGCGTGTCCTAAAATTAGTGTCATAAAATAAAAAAAGGAAATGCGGATGGCGCCTTTCATAAAATGTGTGTCATCTAAGTGTGTCGCTTTATAATTTTTAAATGAAACACGCGTTTTAAGGTGGGATTTCACCTGCTTATTGGATACCAAAAATCCCCCCAACCCCCTCTTCCAATTAGCAAGAAAAAGCCCTAGGGCCTTCGTCTTCATTAAGACAAAGAAAGACTGGGACGATGGATATGCTCAAACCCTAGACGAAATTCACGCCATTGAAAACTACGGGAAGTCAAGATCCACCGCCACGGGTATGTATCTATTTCGCTCATTCATGAGTCTATCTTCTACAAAATCAAGCTATAATCTACAAAAACAAGTCGTCGACCAAATTGAAAAATCATCGAATGATCTCTATCAACCAACAAATCCTTAGCGTTCAAGTTTGCCTTCGCCGGAACCATTGGCTATGTGCCTCGTCTTTGACGGAACCGTTATCCACTCATTGTCGCCCACCCTTTCTTCTACTTCACCACCCAGAACCTCCGCCCGGTAATCTAACATCCTCCTCTTTCCTTTTCTTTGAAGATAAACAAAACCTAATATTCTTTATTTAAAATCTCTGAAACAGTCTCCTTGATTTGAGAGAATTACTTAATAAATAACCACCACCAGAACGTCTTCACTTGTCACCGGAATCCTACGAGCCACCGTTGTCCCTTACTTCGACCATAGTAATTCCATCATTAACCAAGAGACCCTATGTTGGTAATTCTTTGATCCCTTCACCATTTATTTGATTTTCGTTTTGGATTTTATATATATATATATATATATATATATATATATATATATATATATATATATATGTTAATTGTAGACAGTAATCAGATAGCTCGAGCATAGTCTAGTATGAAGATGAAACTTACAGGACCTCTTTGAAATCACTTCATCTTGTTTGACTGTTTGTTTACAGAGAAAGTCAAGATAGAAAGATGCTGGTATATATGGATATTCCTTTCAAATAATCTTCCAGGCAAGGTTTTTTTTTTTTTTTTTTTTTTTTTTTTTTTTTATTTATTTATTTAAATAGCTTTAATTTGTGTTATTCCATTAACACCCTTCCTCACCTTCTCCTTTAAAGATAAATATGTATAAGTGTTGTTAGACTCACTAAAAGCATCTTTTGGTTCTTAATCTATCCGTTTCTTACCATGTATGCTATAATTTATCTTTAGTAAGTCTTTTTCTTGCATTTAGTCTTTCATTTTCTATGAGCTTATGCACTGTTCCCCATTTCCTTTTTGTATTTTCCTTTCATTTGAGGTTGAGCAGATTTTGTGTATATGTTATGGAGATCAAAAGGAAATAAAGAAGCCTTGACTTTAGCTTAAGGTATCTTAACTATTTTATGTTACAAACATTATCATTTCCATAAACAGGTGAGGGTATTTTGGTAATCTCTCTTTTAGATATATTTTTATTTGTTTGACTAGATGTTGTGGAAGGGTTATAGACCTGAGGGAGACACATGGGAAGCTATAGAGGGCTTAAGGTAGGGGTATAATGTTAATTGTTGTTTTTCTTTCCTTCATGTTGACATTTATAAAAAACAAAACAGAGAAAAAACAAACGAATTTCTCTTTTAAACATTTTGGTATTCTTGTTAATATATTTTATTGCATTGCAGCATGGGGGGCTTGGTTGTGAAACAGAGGCTACATCAAGCAAGTGTAGAAAACAGGGGCAATCTTATCAAAAACACTATTGGTGTGGTATGTTTGATTAATAAAGTATAATAATAATAATAATAATAATAATAATAATAATAATAATGATAATTTATCACTACTTTCAAAGTATAGTTTTCTTAATAAGAAAAAAAATTAGAAAGTACAATGCAAATGTTTTAATAAGAAAGTGTTTTTTTTTGAGTTTTTTTCGCAGAAAAAAGTGACTCTAATAGTTGAAGGGTACGGTGGATGGGCTTTTCGATTGGAAATAGTAACAATTGAAGCTACATATCCTGGATATGGGGAGCATGTTGTAAGTTTTTTATCTGGCAAATGACTATTTTACCCTTATCATTTCTAGGAAAGTGATGCTGATTTGAACATGCTTGAGTTGTTGGCAGGTGTTGGAGTTGACTGATCATGTAAATTCATGCAAACTTATCACCAAAATAGATCCTTCTTACAGTGAAACTTTGCAATTTTTGCACAAACTTAGAGTAGCATCATCTAAAGAGTGACTGAGTGTAAATAACAAAACAACAGGTAATAAACTCTTTCATTATTTTACAATCATAATTCCTCATCTTACCTAATTGTAAATTTATCATATCTCAATATATCATTTTTTTTCTTTTATTGTGATATGTGGGAAATCATCTGACATTTGTTTACCTAATAATTTATATATCATGGGGGCAAGTTTTGTATATTTGGTAATGGGTTTTGTTGTTTTGGTGAAGATCATCATGTATGTAAGGTAGTTTTACAAACTAGGATCAAGAATGTATGAATTTAACAAACTAAAAGTTTTATAATTTTTTTATTCTTAGATTAAAAAAATGTTATCTATTTTCTATGTTGTTTGTCGACTATGGGAAGTAACAATTACAATGCCAATCCGTACGTGAGCCAAGCCTTTGGACTGGCTGTTAAAGAGCAGCTGACAATGATAGATGCCTGGGTCCTTCCACCTCCACATGTAAGTAACTTTACATTTTAACCTCTTTTTATTTCATATACTTTTTTAAAGACTTGAATTCACTTTTGTTATTCAACTCAAGTACCACGAGATAGGGGCTGATAATTAATACATCAGTTGGTGAATGGAACATGATGAACCTGGTAAAGTTGAACTTCTCATTTGCTTTGTAACTTACAACTCTTTATTATTGTCTTCTTGAAAGCATTCTGACCAATATACCCTTCACAACATTGACCTTTTTCTCCTTCTTCTTGAGACTTTCTTTTTAATCTTCTATTTATTTTCATAAATATAAAAGTCTTCTCACCTTTGGCTAAAAAGAAACCTGTCGTTGTTGTAGCCACCAAGAAAGTCGAGTGAAGTGATGAGTATGATTCAGAAGACAGTTCAGATGAAGTAAGAGAGCTTTTTGGTTTTGTGTACAATTTTTACTGTGTGAAGTCTTTTCACCTTTGGCTGCAAAGAAACCTGCTGTTGTTAAATATGGAGCTGCTGCTACTCCTGCAAAGAAAGCAGAAAGTTCTGATGATAACAACTCTGAAGAAAGCGATTCTGAAGAAGAGGTTAAGGCTGCCCCTAATAAGAAACTTGCAGCAGTAGCTACTGCAACCAAGGTGTGTATTCAATACATGGTTTTGTCTATATACTTGCTTGTTTTGTATGTTGTGTGAATTTGTTAAAAATCTAGCTTGTTTTACTAACTTGATAAATTTGGTTAACAGTCGGCTCAAGCTGCAAAGAAAGATAGCAGCTCTATTGAAGAGTCTGAAGAAGGTGATGAGGAGGAAAGATATCAGCTCTTATGAATTTCTGATTATTCACCAGTTTTGCAGTTGAATGACAAATCAGCTCATCGGTGGATTAATACTCACTTAAGACTGTCTCAGAAGTTTGATGCAGTGACTAGATTTGGCATCAAAGATGGTTCTAATTAGGCACACTTTGTTGTAATCTTTTGACCATGTTTGAATTCTGCAGCTGAATGGCTTATGGTTCCCATCCAATGAATCAAAAGGTAAATGTGATATCATTCAAAGAATGGGTGTTATAGTTTACTAATGGAATGGATTTTTACTATTTTTATAGTTTTGGTGAGGAAATGAGACCTATAAAAGTGACTACCAAAGTTTTTGGTAATCACTCTCATCAAATATTATTTTTGATTTGTTTCCCTATGTGATTTAAATCCATTTAAAATCACATGAAAATACAAACCCAGGTTGGATTGTTTGTTAAGCTACACCACAGTTCATAACTGTCATTTTTGTTGGTCATTTTCTTAAGGGCTAAATGTATTGTACTCTAAAAAATGGAAGTTATGTCTCCATATAGAAAGAGCATTATACTCAATTTCTATGATTGAATGAAAGCAAGACCTGGGCTCTATACCATTATTTGTAGGTACATAACAGTAACACACTTCCATGTTTGATTATATATATATATATATATATATATATATATATATATATATATATATATATATATAATATTCCAACCCTTTAGGGAAAATAGATTTTATTATTAAGTAGTCGTCAAAATTCTTATAAGTTGAAAAGTCAACTAGTCTGGTTTATTATTCAACTCTTATCTACTGAAGAATGTCTAGACCTTCTTCTCCAATTGATGTTGCAACAATACCATTATATTCACCAGCTCGAAATTTCTAATGATAATTTATGAAAATAATATTACATGAAAAAATATGAAGAAGATAATGGCTGCATTAAAGTTGGAGATTGTTACCTCTAAAACAACTTGCTGAATTTTTTGTGTTTGGCCCTTTGATTTTTAACTGTGCAAAAATATAAATTTGATACAAGATTGACAGTATTCATGAACCATATCTCCTGTCAGTTTTTTAATATTCCGACCCTTAAGGAAAATAGTTTTTCACAGCTATAGTTATGATCACCATAATATTCTAGTAGTCGATCAATCATTCCTCCTTAGTTGTAATTATGACCAAATTACCCTTGTTGAGCTTAAGTGATATGATCTCAGAGAAAACTTAACTATAATCTGATAGATGGGAATGGAATATGATATACTCCTAGATTGCCCATTCAGCCTCCTATGTGACAAACTCCTTGCTTTTTGTTGTGAAATATTCTCATATTGGTTTGTTTAGTTTAAGATTGAAAGTATGATACTATTTATTGAAATTGGTTGATTATGACATTTTGAAATTGATTTTTTTAGTTTAAGATGTCAAGGTTGATTAAGGCATTTGAAGTTTTTTTTTGGTATAGTGGAGATTGGATGGCAGCTTTAATTTATTTTTGGTTTTTAGTACCTTCATGATTGTCAAATCATACAATGGGCCATTGGGTGCATCTTTCTGCATAGGAGAATGTTGTGTATTCCCCCAATCACTACTCTCACTTCACCTGTTTCCTCAAGAAGCATAGGAAACAAAGAATGATGAACACGTGAACTTGATACACCACCTGGCACACCCACATCCGCTGAACCACTACCCACCTTTACATTTACATTTACAGACCTTTCTTCACACACAATAATCTCATCCTCACTAATTATTCTCCACCCATGCAATTGGCGAACTCATATGGCTTCCGATTCCAATTTCAATTGTTAGTTGTACTACTAATGATGGAAGTTGCTAATAAAGGAAATGGAAGAAGCCGCATGAAATAGATTTTTTGTATGAAACACATAGTAGATTAGATGAATATTGCAAATTTATATATTGTAAGAAATAAAATTGTATGACATTAAATTTTATGTAATGGATTGTATTTTTGTATGTGGTATTTTATTTTTATTATGAGACATTAAATGCAAATTTAATTTAAAAATTAATAAATATATAAATATATATTTGTAACGACCAAAATTTCGAAACAATTAAAACTTTTCAAAAACAACCCATTTTAATAACGTTGTTACAAAAAGGTTTTTCAATACACTATTTAACAGAGTATTTCCCAGGTCCATTTCATAAAACACCAACGCGATGAACGATACGATCACGCATTTGCCTTGCCACAGACTCCTGAGAACCTGAAAACATAAAAACCACAACTGTAAGCCCGAAAGCTTAGTGAGATACCCCCAAAATACCAACCACATATACGCCCTTCCAGGCCACAACCTTCTGGTCCAAAACATATCGCCTTCCGGCCCACAACACATTGCCTTCCGGCCCATAACATATCGCCTTCCGGCCCGCAACATAGAAAGCATACATATCATGACAGAACATAGAACAACCATGCATACCGGGTTACACTCCAGACCAGACAACCATGCACATAACATGTAATCATATAACAGTTCACAGTTAGCAAATCGATCAACAGATCACATAACATATCATTACCCTAACCAAGATACCAGCCTAGCCGATCACTAGTATAACATCACCCTACGACTCAGCCAACATAATAATTATGCACATACGCCTTTCCAGGCCATGACCTTCCGGTCCACATCGCATTGCCTTCCGGCCCACAACATGTAATGCCTTCCGGCCCATAACGTAACGCCTTCTGGCCCATATCTCGCAATATCATACAACAGACAATTACCCGGATTTCCATCCCGATAAAAGGGTCGGCCTTGGTGCCTTAAACCCTATAGATATAGTGAGGATAACTCACCTCGAAACTGCCGTCTGAACAGATAACCCAAGCTGCTCCGATCCCTGATACGATCTCCACCACTGGATAGCCACCAATGCACTGAACTCAAAACCATAATCAACAATTACCAAAATACCCCTGGAAACCACTGGTCAACCCTTGGTCAAAGACTGGGTCAAAGTCAACCCCTGACTGACCCTACTCGCCAAGTTCCCACGTCAAAACTTCACTCAATCCGCGACCTAACTCGCCGAGTCACCCCGAGACTCGCCGAGTCCAACAATTCTGATTCCATTCGCACACAACTCACCGAGTCCTCCCTTGGCTCACCGATTCTTCGACTCAACCAGGAAATATTGGGACTCTTCGACAAGACTCGCCGAGTCCAAGAACAGACTCGCCGAGTCTAAGGCTATCTTCAACCTACTCGCCGAGTTGTTCATCCAACTCGTCGAGTTCCAGACCATCTTCATCCAACTCGCCGAGTTGTTCTTCCAACTCGTCGAGTCTCAGCTCGTCTTCAAGAAACTCGTCGAGTCCGCCCATGTGACTCGCCGAGTACCACCGGTCTGAATCCATACGGAAGCATCCCAGGCCATGCAATTGGCCCAAAACATAGATCTAGCCTCCTACAACCCATCCATCACGTAAAGTGGCAAACTTTACGTGAATCCATGAAGATCTAGGCATTATACACATTAGGGCTAAGGTTTGGGACAAGATAGCTTCACTACATACTCAATCACAGGGACTTTCAAGCATTCCAACCCTTCTCCATTCCAGATTTGAGGTAGTAACCTCAGATCTAACCTCTAGACTCCAAAACACCAATAGATGTGATCTCAAAATCCCCAAAAGTGAAGAATCTAGACAATAGCAGCTCAAGAACGAGATATTACCTCAAAAGAACGCCCCAATCTTCAAGGAA